CACTCGTAGACTGCAGATTGTATCACCGTTCTACATTTTACTCAGCGCCTGTTATATGGGATAAAAAATGACCTTATTACACAGACATGCTCTCTGCCACCAGTTCTGTCATAGAAATATGATTAAATGTCACTGCTTATAGGGACCATTCTTTACTGTGCCTCTCAAGTAAATATCATCAATACAGGCCATGGATGTTTGATTAAGTACATAACAGTCCTGAAGCTGTTTCTGTTAAGAATTACAGGACATTAATAGATGATCATAAATACTTACAAATGCTGCCAAATATTCTTAAATAACGATCATTTTGAATGCATGATGAATGCAAAATGAAAAAATACTAGGACATTTTTTACACAGAAAGCTACAAGAAGTTAATTATTTTCAATGTTGAACAAACTTATCCCTTAATGGAGAGATTGATGAATTTATGCAAATGTATAAATAGCAAATGAATCTGTAGTGCTGTCAGATGTGAAATATTTTCTATCATGTGGCGCATATTGATGTTCTCATGGTTGTCGGAACCACTCTGAATCAGCTGTCAGATCAGTTTACTGCAGCCACAAACACGTTTTGAGAAGCATGAAAGAACTGTATGATGGATTTCACGATTTGAGATTGTGTTTTCTAACTCGTCATATTGCTTCATATATATTACTTTTTCGCAAAATGAGAAAGATCCCTATTACTGAAGAGGTCTTGACAACACTGCTTTATCTAACACTAAATACATTTAAATCCAAAAAAATATATACACTAGTGTTCAAAATTTTGAATCTGTAGGATTATATTTATTTAATTATTGAAATAAATTACTTTTATTCAGCAAGAATGCATACAATTGGTCAAAACAAACAGTAAAGATGTATAATGTTACAAAAAAATTATATTTAAAATAAATGCTGTTTTTTTTTTTTTACTTTCTATTTATCAAATAATCCTATAAAAATGTATCGACCCTCGACCTCGACCTCGTCCTGCTTGCCACATGTATTTGTACTCTAAGGTAATATGCACCTTTTAGGAGTAAAAAAAAGGTATAAAGATGTCTTTTTAAGGGTACTGCCCCAGTGACAAGCTGTTGTTCCCCTAAAGGTACATTTTTTACACCTTTTTTCTCTGTGTTGGTACTCAATTATTAATAATGGTTCTTCTTAACAATGTTGAAAAGAATTGTGCTAATAATTGTGATAATTTTGTGGAAGCCGTGATATACTGTATTTTTTTTAGGATTCTTTGAGGTAACAATTTTTGGTGCTCAATTATCAATTATTACGCTTCACTTAACAAATCGCTTATATCCAGTGATCCTTTCAAAATAGTTCTAAAATGCTGATTTGGTTCAGTGGTTCATGTAGGTTGTCTACAAACCAGAAGGTTGGTGGTTCAATCCCCGGTTCCACCTGACCAAGTGTTAAGGTGTCCATGAGCAAGACACCTAACCCCAGCTGCTCCCGACGAGCTGGATGGCGCCTTGCATGGCTGACACCGCCGTCGGTGTATGAATGGGTGAATGTGAGGCAAAATGTAAAGCGCTTTGGTGGCCATTGGGTCTGTGAAAGCGCTATATAAATGCAGTCCATTTACCGTATTTTTAAAGGATCATGGGATATAAGCGATTTGTTAAGCGAAGCGTTGACAAATCTTACTGACCCCAAACTTTTGAACAGTAGTGTATATTTCATCATATGCCTGTGTGTGTAGACAGCTGTTGTGACGCCTCCGGTCTGCCCATTGAAAAACTATCCATGTACTGTCCTGTCACTGTATGCTGATCTATAGTGCCGACATTCCAAAGGCAATGTGAGTGTGTGGATGAGCGAATTTAAGAGGCCAAAAATGAGTGTTACCAATAACCAATGGTGAACGGTGAAAGCCTGCATGTATGCTAGGAAATGGCAAAGGGTAACTGTATTAACAAGTCATGTCAAGAAAACTGCAAACAAACACTCAAAGCTACTGACAAAATCTTTACTGAGCTGACTCTAGCTATTTGTTCCACAAATCTGTCTGAAAACACAAATATCTACCATCTGAGCCTTGTCAAACAATGGAGAATTACAGTATTCATGGGTAAGTGCACAAGCATGGCAGCTTGTCCATTACATAACGGAAATGCCAGCTTAATTGCCCTTTAACACAAGCTGCAGATGGCATTGAATGTTTGTCACACTCAAGTACACCCAGAGGGCTTTGCACTAATATTCCCAGTAACTAATCAGCTGGTCTAAGCTGCAGCTGTGGATCAGAATAAAACATTTTGAGGTGGGATGGACAGGACATAATTTTACCCATCGGGAATAGGATTGTGTAAAGGTTGGAATTATAAGCCAGGTGGATGCTGGGAAGGAGTTGAACAAAAAGGAAAATTGAAGTTATTTGTCATTTGAGTGCAACGTGTTTGTCAGCTTATTTGGTGATGATTCAGAATCAATTTCACTAAAGTACCGGTATGAGTTTTCTGAAATATCAAAACCAATCTCGTGAGAAAATTTTATATTTTGGTGAATTGGTGGTGAATTTGTATGAATTCGTACAATATGAGTCGTATAAAACATACAATTTATAGAAAAAAACGAAGCATGAAATCCACCCCAAAAACTAAAGCTTCAGTACGGTGTAAGCAGATTGTACGAAAACATTCAAAAGTAATTCACCAAAACACAAAATAGTTACGAATTTCCATGGGAGTGTTTTGGAAATAACACTTGGTAGTAAAATAGTAAACTGGTCTGGATAGTGTAGATGATCTTTAAATAGCCTGTGTTTTGCTTCCTTTTGATGATGACCCAGAGACTCATTCTTTTAAAAGATGTTACAGACTATTATAAGTGTTTTTAGTGTCTTTATTTTAGGCCCGACAAGTAGGGAAGAAACTTCACACCATTAGCTGCTTCCCGCAGCATGTTATGAAAATCTTTCTAGAGTGTTCTTTTACTTTCTGCATTAGTTTCAAGGTATAGGGGAAAATAAAAACGGACATATAGCCACTAAGCGAATGCCATAGTTTCAGTTACTGAGACTCAAATAGTGTTGACAGCGTTTTCACTCTCTGAGTGTTACACGTCTTTCTTGGTAAGTTATAAATCTGTCAGTGGCAAAGTGATATCCGACAACTGCATCTTATGTTTATGTCTAAATGCTCTCTCGCATATGCTCTCTCTATCTCTCTTTAATCCATTATGTCTGCTCCCGTTTAGCCTCAGTGAACGAGAGACACATTATCAGTTATTGTAGTGTGTGTGGAAATCCTCGACTGTTGCTATTCTTAAGTGGAGTGACATTCTCATAACATTATCCCGACATAATTTCTATCTGCTTCTGTCTGCATTATCATGTTCCCAGCTAACAGGGAACGTTCTCAGAATTGGCGAGGTTCTTTCAGTTATGAAGAAACGTTTTTCCAGTATGTTCTTTGAAAGTTATTTGGTATTATAAAATGGATAGTTCCGGTCCTTGATTCTGATTGGTTGAGCCGCGTTCAAAGCTGTTGTAAATTACTCAACAAACATACACATGTGACCACATTACATTAGTATTACTGCGCAACTGCCGTTTGTGATTCTTTGTTGCTGCATGTGTTGCTTGGCAACCTCTTTGGAACTACATTGCTTGGCTGACGAATAAATGTGTTATAACGTAATATTTTTTGTTGCTGGTGTTTAGTTTATGAATAAAATAAATATTAAAATGAATATTTTTATGTATTAACCGTTTTATAAAAGCAATAAGCCCATTGAAGCCGTGAACCCGTGTTTTACAGTGAATTTAGAAACGGAACTCCGCTCCACGTCGTGCGTGCCTAACAACGCCCCTTAGCTGTTCTAAATATACCTTGCTTTATTTTATAATGTATAATGTTATTTTATGAACATTAGTACACAAATATTATTTTTACATTATTCATGGAACATTTCTTTCCTGAAATGTTTTAGTTGGACGTTCATTTAATGTTTTTTCTTTATTTGATACTTGTTTCTTTTGTGTGTTCTCTGAACATTCTGAAACATTTCCATAACGTTTGCAAAATGATAAGTTCGCATAACCAAGAAAAAAATATTTTTAACAATTAAAAAAAACTGGAAAACTCATAACATTCTTAGGGGCCATTCAGAATGTGTTTTTCCATCCCACTGTGATACTTTTCCATTATTTTTCTATGTGAACACATGCTAGAAGGACGTGTTTGATATTGTGCCTCGCGTCTTTTGCAGTGTTTTGTACATTTTGTTCTAAAATTCGGCACTCAAGATAAAAGAAGTTCAACTTCAAGTTTAAACTAATTCATCTCTAGTCCTTGCATTTTTTTCCCCATTCCACTGACACATTTTAGCTGCAAAAATGCATTCTGTGTGAACTGGCCCCCTCTAACACATTGTGTTACAAATGTAGCCTAACACATTTTTGGGCTAACATGTCTATTGGGTAACAGTATTTAGTATTATGAGACAGATGCAAATGCTATGCTTTTTCCCACTTTATAAAATTCCACACCTCATATTCGCAAATACTGAAAGTGATGAGAGAGAGAGTGAAATGTGTGTGTAGCACTGTAAAATTAATACATAGCAGGCACACCAAGTGCATTCCTGGTGTCCAGACTGTCTGGTGTCAGTCAGAGTATTACTACATGTGCACAAACACTGACGCCACCGTTTCTAGCTGTTGTCTGTCATGGATCCATATAAAGGTCTGTGTCTCCATTTGATACACAACAAACATGTTTAAAGCAGAATATCTTCTATATCTGCCACACTGAGTAAATATAACTTGTGCTAGTCATAGAACAGCTTAGGTAAAAACACAGTCGCCAAACAGTTTAGGCACTTTACCATGTGGTATTGGGCATTAAACAACATAGATAATTTAGCTAATAATTAAGCTTGCTAATTCATTCTTCAAAACAAGATATACTTTTAGCGTCTATTTACTGTTTGATGTTTTACAGGTGAAAGTGTCCTTTTTCAGAACACAGATCAGTGGAGATCATCATCATGAATACAGGTAAGTCCGTTATTAAAATACCTGTGTAATTTCTTTGCCATTAACCCATCATTAGTGTGCATTTGTAATCAGATTTTATGTAAAAATGTCATGACATGTGGTAGGCTAATAAGATATTGTGTCAAAAAAGAGATCAGAAAGAGGTGCAGTAAGTGCTTCTGGTTCATACATCACACTTTAAATAAAAGGTCAAGCCAAGCACATTGCATTGTGGGATATGCTATAATCACACAATAAGGTCTGCTGTATACTGTTCATTTGGACCAGCTTCGGACCAATAATATTACTGCATTACTTTAACAGATGTGTTCACATCACACCTAGTTAGGAAATAATGTCATTAGGTGTGTACGGCTTGAAGCAGCGCTGTGCCGACCAATTGGTGTATGACATCAAAATTCTTTGAGAGCTAGAGAGCAGACGGTACTTTGATGCCATACACCAATCCATCTGCAACGAACACACCTACAACAATATGTCAGCTTTCCTGCAATGCTTTGCAAATCAGTTACTGCATAAGTTGTATGCTGTTCTGTAAAGGACTAACTTTTTACAGTACCATTCAAAAGTTTGGGGTTTGTAAGATTTTTTTTTTGTCTCTTATGCTCATCATTTGCATGTATTAGATCAAAAATACAGTAAAATACAAATACATTTTATGGAATATTATCACAATTTAAAATGTTTTCAATTTTAACGTATTCAATAAAAATAATTCAAAATGTTTTCAATTTTAACGTATTCAATAAAAATAATTCATTTATAATTATTAATTAACAACAATAATTCTAATATGCTGGTTTTGTGCTCAATAAACATTTCTTATTATTATCAATGTTGAAAACAGTTGTGCTGCTTAATATTTAGTGCAAACTGATACATTTTTATAAGGATTCTTTAAAGGATAGAAAAGTAACAATAAAAAAACAGCATTTATTTGAAATACTTTTTGGACTGCATTTATATAGCGCTTTCACAGACCCAATGGCCACCAAAGCGCTTTGCAATTTGCCTCACATTCACCCATTCACTCACTCATTCATACACCGACGGGCGACAGCAGCCATGCAAGGCGCCATCCAGCTCGTCGGGAGCAGCTGGGGTTAGGTGTCTTGCTCATGGACACCTTGACACTTGGTCAGGTGGAACCGAGGATTGAACCACCAACCTTCTGGTTTGTAGACAACCAACATGAACCACTGAGCCACTGCCGCCCCTGATAATAATCAAACTGACCCCAAACCTTTGAACAGTAGTGTTGTTTCATTTTATTTACTTTTTCTCTTTATTTTGCATTATCTTTTGGTGCAATAATGTTGCATTTAAAATGCATGTGCTTTGCTTTCTGTTTGTTTTGCATGTATGCTTCTGTGTGTGTGTGTGTGTGTGTGTGTGTGTGTGTGTGTGTGTGTGTGTGTGTGCAAACAAACACTCCAGATAGCGGAGGACGTGCTCATAAAAGAGCATCCCTGTTGCTCACTCTCTGGCCTGTGAAGAGGGCCCAGAGCTCACCCAACCTGTACGCTGCTGCAGGTATCAGTAATGGAGCAGGACTGTCTAACAGACACAGATCTTTAAAATAGAGTTTTTAGAATGTCTTTTTTGCAAATCAGTGTTCCATAAGTAATTTAGATGAGTTTTCTGCCCAGTGTTCTGTTTGTGTGTGCGTCTGCAAGCATGCTTGTTTGCGTGTGTTTGCAACATCTGTTTTGTTCCATAATTGTCTTGCTAAGTTTGAAGATAACAGAGGCATTAGATTTAGGCTTTTATTGTCAATATTATTCAATTTTAAAGGAATAGTTGGTAACACTTTACAATACGGGTGCACTAATATGCATTAATTCATGTTTAACTAATGCATAGATAATCATGAGTTAATCTATGATTCATGAAGAACTAAACCATTAATTAATGATTACTGCATCAGCAACTAATAAAGAGTCTATATGATTAATAGATTAAGTAATACATGAATTGCTATTAATTCATTGTGTCATTGTGTATTAATTCCTTAATAATATATTTTATTAACTAATAGTGTAAATTAATGTGTTAATTACCAAAATTAGTCAAAGCTATGCACTTCAACTTCCAGTTGTCTGCTTTAATTAATCATTAGCTAATGATTTGCAAAGGTATCATTATGTTATGACTTTACTTGTTAAGGCACATCATTATTAACTAGTCATTTAGTAATTGTAGTAATTTACACATGAATTTGCACTAACAATGAAGTAATTAATCATGTATTAATGCATATTAGTGTACCTGTATTATCTGAAAGTTGAAATACAAGGCTTTGGCTCATTCTGGTAATTAACATATTAATTAACACTATTAGTTAAAAAAATGAGTTATTAGGGAATTAATTCACAATTACATATTTAATTAATAACAATTCATGTATGAACTAATACATTAACCATACAGACTCTTAATTAGTTCCTAATGTGGTAATCATTAATGAATAGCTTAGACAATCATTAGTTACACATTAATTCAGTATTTTCTGTGCATTAGTTAGCATGAATTAATGCTTATTAGTGCACCCGTATTGTAAAGTGTTACCGAATAGTTCACCCACATAACATTATTATCTCTCAATATTCCTCGAATATATTCATAGCAGAGTTACACGAACAGAAAACAATGGCCTGTATGCACTGTAAAATCCAATTAGTTCAACTTACTTGAAAAAAGCATGCAAACCGATTGCACTCAAAAAACTGAGTAAAGTGAAATAGGAATAATATGTAGTACTAACAAGTGCATGTCTAGTAGTGTACACTTACAAGAGAGTTCCAGTAACTTAAAATAATTTGTATACTATACTTGATCTTTTACTTTAGATGTACTCATTTATGCTAGTTGTGTTAACTCTGATGTAAAATCTAATTAGTACACCTTACTTGAAAAAAGCATGCAAACCGATTGCACTCTAAAAACTGAGTAAAGTGAAATAGGAAAAATATGTAGAACTAACAAGTGCATGTCTAGTAGTGTACACTTACACGTGTACACATCTATTATAAATCATTGAGAATAGTTTCACAATTTTACAAAGATAACATTTACAACGGGACAAATAAATGTAAGGCAATGATACAGTTCAAAGGTAAATTTATTGTATTGTTTTCTTAAAAACTGCACAGGGGTGGTCCACACACGTTTGCATTGGGGTATACAATTTATGTAAATCACTAGGTTTAAAAAAACAACAACAACTGTAAAACAAAAAAAACGGAAACACTTAATAATAAGGTTCATTAGTTAACATTAGTTAGTGTATTAACTAACATGAGCTAACAATGAGCAATACATTTGCTATTGTATTAATTAATCTTTGTTAATGTTAGTTAATAAAAATACAGCTGTTCATTGTTTGTTCATGTTAGTTCACAGTGCATTAACTAATGTTAACCAATACAAACTTTGATTTTAATAATGTTTTAGTAAATGTTGAAATTAATATGAACTAAGATTAATAAATGCTGTAGAAGTATAGTTAATTCTTAGTTCATGTTAACTAATTAACCTTATTGTTAAGTTGTTTCCCAAAAACCTTTTACAGTAAAACAATATACATTTTTTTTTATATAAAATCTGAATAAAAATAAATAAATTTGAGACCATACCCTGACTCTAACACATCCTCAACAAACAGCTTTAACAATTCAATAAATAACAATTACTCACTTTAATCAATAACACTTCGGAGACCAAACTTGGTATATAGAAGTGCAAAAAAAGTGGCTACATTCATTATCCTAAACAATGAAAAAGCAATGTCTCTGACACACATGTACATTAGAAATGAATACGCTGACAGCATCTTAAAGGGTTAGTTCACCCAAAAATGAAATTTCTGTCAGTAATTACTCACCCTTATGCCGTTCCAAACCCGTAAGACCTTTATTAATCTTCGCAACACAAAGGAAGATCTTTTTGATGAAATATGAGAGCTTTCTGTCCCTCCAAAGATTAACGTCATTGTGACTTTTAAGGTCCAGAAAGGTAGTAAAGACACTGTTAAAATAGTCCATGTGACTACAGTAGTTCAACCTTAATGTTATGAAGCGACGAGAATAGTATTTGTGTGAAAACCCCCCGCCAAATAACGACATTATTCAACAATCTCTTTCTCTTCAACGTCATTCTCCTACGCTGTTGATCTAGTTTAAACAGCGCAGCGCTTCTGGGTTCTACATCAGAACGTAGGCTTATTATTGGCCGACGCTGGTCATGTGTGATGCTGGCCAATAATAAGCCTACATTCTGACATAGAACCTAGAAGCACTGTGCTGTTTACACTATCGTCAACAGTGTAGGAGAATGACGTGGAAGAGAAGAGATTGTTGAATGTAGTTTGTAGCGAGCAGGACGAGGCAGAGGGCCGTGAGAGAGCGGCGCTAGGCCGCTGGCGTGATTGCTGATGAGCGACACCTGTGAGACGCACCGGTCTCGTATCTCTCACGGAGGAGCAGAGGCATAAAGGAGGAGCGACGACAGTAGAGATTGAGAGAGGCCAGGCCTGGATTTTATGTTGTGTTATGTGTGGCCAGCAGTCATCCTCGAGGGGCAGCTGGCTTATACTTTCGTTTTGTATTTGTTTTATTTTAGGTTATTAAACGTGTTGAATGTTCGCCGGTTCACGCCTCCTTCTTCCCATAACAACTGAACCTCGTTACATCGTTATTTGGGGGGGTTTTCGCACATAAAAAGTATTCTCGTCGCTTCATAATATTAAGGTTGAAATACTGTAGTCACATGGATAACAATGTTTTTACTAGTTTTCTGGGCCTGGAAAGTTTCAATGACGTTGCGTTAAATGGAGGGAGAGAAAGCTCTCTGATTTTATCAAAAATATCTTTATTTGTGTTCCAAAGATGAACGAAGGTCTTACGGGTTTAAAACGGCATGAGGGAGAGTAAATACTAACAGAATTATCATTTTTGGGTGAACTAACCCTTTAACTTGCTCATGAACTAATGGGCTGATAATTTTAAACAAGTGGCTTAGTTTCCCTTTTATTTGTCTATCAACTAATCTAATTCCACTGTCATAAACGAATTTAATCTAATGCCAAACATCGTAAATCTTGCACATTTCATTACTCAAGAGATTTTTCAGAGATTGCAATTTTGGTGGGAGTTTGTTCTGTCCCAAACCAAGTGTTTTTCATGTCTTTTGTGTAATCCAAATTTAAAGCATAAGACAGACCTAAATAGATGCAAATTGCATGATTCTGCAGATTATTACAATACCTCTCTCAACAATGATGGCAGTAGACACTGGGCAAAGGTAGAGAGAGAGATTCTTCTTCATCAATGACAGTCAGCACCCCAACAGATACTTGTGCCCAGGCTTCATCAACATCACAAACCTGAATGAAACCAAACAATAAAAATATTACAACAGGGAAAAGTGAAAAGGCATGATAAATTGTCAGTTATCTGTCCTGCATACATGTGTGTATTGCTCATGCATGAGCAGCCAGTTGTTATCCTTTGAACAAATCGATAAGATTTAGTAAATACAAAATATTATTTTTTATATAATTATATATAAATATTATTACAAAAAGCGCTCATGTTGCTTCATGAAATGAGCTTAAACCACTGGAGACACATGAGCTAATGATTTCTTTCATTGCTGCCTACTGAGGAACAGAAAGGACTTGGATTTTATTAAAAGTATCATAATTTTTTATCTGAAGATGAAAAAAAGTGTCATAATAATAAAAAATTAAGGCTGCAGGAAACTCACCCCTGTATTAATTTGCTGCATAAGATCATCAAATTTCTCTCCAATGCTTCTTGAAGACTTGTGACAAAACGTGGTGTGTAGCGATCCACAGCACCATAAAAGTTACTCTGCAGTCTGCAGATCTGTGGTGACTATCCTGTCAAACTCTGCAAACACCTACAACACAGGCACACAAAAACAGGCATGGGACAGTGTGGAAATTTTTCAATGCATGGTCAGGCCTACAGGCCAATCCTAAAGCCAAACCTAAACAGAATGTGGTTTCTCATGGTGGAAAAAGGGATATGAATAAGTTCTTACTGGTCTCTCTGTAAAAAGAGCTGGCCACTGCTCCTGCATCCACAATCTCACATCTTCGCATTGAGATGGTCTGGTCCATCTTTGATGCAATCAGAGGTTCCACTAGTCTAGGATAACATCACTTAACATTACTAAGTTTCTCATCTTGTTAAAAGATGGCTAATTTTATCAGCAGTGATAAAGCAGTTGAGTTTGAGTAAAGAAAATCACTTTTACCAGTGCTTGCATTACATTCTTAATGTACTCAATTTAAAAAATAAAAGTATAATGCTATTGTGAATTCATAAATACTGTCACAAATCATCACAAACTTAATCTCTGCATAAACTGCAGGTTAACGTTACATTTAACTGTAAATGTGCGCCATTTCACACGATTTGTAACCTTAATCATTTATAAACCAATGCCAACAGAGGAGAATGCATCAGTGAAAATGCATCGGTTTTAAATTTGGGAACAATAAATAGCTTTTCAGGCATTCCAGGAACTGTTATGCCTAACCATATTCTTCAAGCTCCGAATATCACAATTATTTGGTACACATTAATAACCTGACTCCGCCAGATGGATTTGCTCCGCATATCCATCTGGAAACCTTCCGTTGAAGTAGTTTTGGTAAGGGGCGAAAATACTGGTTAGCTGATTGGCCTATGTTGGTGATAGACGGGCCAAATCAACCAATCAGATCAACGAAGCATATGACGTACTAACAGAGCGTATCTTTTCCTCTGAGAAAAGCCTCCAGAGCAGTGTTTTGCTCTTCTTTCAGTGAAGAAATACTCTGTAATTCCGATAAAACTTGCTCGATAGCCACGCTGATGCTAGTTTCATCCGCTGAAGCCGACATGTTCTTTAGACTGAACTGACGCGCTTCTCGTTGCGTCACACCTCAACCCGCCTCAAAGCCAACGCTGATTGGACGTTCGTTTGGTGAACTGCTCCCAAATTTTCTTTAAAGTCCCACTCCGATCATATTTTGAGCTATTTGTAAACATTACCAGTGGTCTTTAAATTATGATTATGCCATTTTTAGCCAAACTCACAAAACCTGTGCCGTTTTCTGGGACTTTGCTTCAGCAGAGCAGCAGCAGCTCATTAGCAATTCGCCTCTGCGTTGTGGGCGGAGCCGTTGGCACGGAGACGACCCTCCCCCTGCCCGTTGCTGAGAGCTCTGTCTCTCCCGCTAGCTTACACCCCCAACCTGTCATTACCGGTGCAACAAAAATTGAGAGCAATATTGGAGCTATCCAGCCGTACAGTGCGTTTTCGTTTTAAAACGCATAACTTTTGCAACGATTATGCGCTCCTGCCGTCCACATTACTGACCCTCGGCCTCGAAAACGGAGACTGACCCCTTCAGTCGAGTCCGATGCAAGACACGCAAGTGACGCAACCCATAGCAACGAGTCATGGCAACGACAGCTCAAACCGACAGAAACATACAAGTAAACGTGAATTTTGTCACATTGTCATGTTAATTATAATCAAATGCATTTTGTTTTATTGAAAACAATATTATCATTGATATTTGTTTGAGAGGGGCACTTTCGATTAATTTTAACAAGCTTGTGGCCCCGCCCAGTGGAGTTACTACGTCACAACTCCAGTCTATTTTGAACGGCATTTTAGCGTCTGCTACTGATTCACAGCCATTTGAATGTAGAAATACTCAGAAATACAACTTTGAGCTTATTTTTCTCAAGATATGTCCTCTAACATAAGAAAAATGCCACAAGAACATGTTAACACCTAGAAAAACATTATTTTCATCGGAGTGGGTCTTTAACGGAAAGTATCCAGACTGATCTGCGAGTGAAACCTTGAAAGCTCGCGAGATCAGGATGGTCTCACGAGGCTAACACATTAAGGAGATCAGTAAAGATTAGCGACAGACAGTAAAAAAAAACATTCACACAAAAGTCGCATGCTTGATTACTCACCTTATTATCATCTCATATTATTATTCCAAAAATGTAGCGAGGCTCCAGATAAAAATGTAGGCAGTCTCCAGTCTGTCAACGTCTTTCCCACATCTTTAAAATTGGCGCTGAAATACACAGAATCTATCGCGCATGCTCTCACAAGTGCAGCTTCTTCTTTTTTGTTTTTTCGGCACATTAGGCACGCTTTAATGCACTGCTGCCTCTCACTGGTTTAGTAACGCCATTGCATCATTTGTTGCTACTTGCTTGTATCAAGTAAGCGTCACTCAAATTATTGAGTAACTTGTTATTTTCACCCTGCAATTGACCGTAACTCAACAAAACCTAGTAAGAAGTATGTATTTTATATAACTGAGTAAAGTTAACTAATATATGTGAGTCAGGAACGCTATTGGATTTTACAGTGTGTGTGAGATAATTAACATCTTTAAATTAAGCCTTTCAATTTAACATGTTAATTTAGGGTCATTATAACACAATAAAAAGATTAATGCAATTAATCATGTACCTTAAGCCATATGTAAATGTCCGTAATGTGAAATGTTCTTACCATCAGAGCAATTCATGATTAAAGTTAATTTGACAGAACTTTCTAGTTGATTGACAGCCCTAACCAGTGAAAGAAAAAAAGAAAAAGAGACTATACTGGACACACTTTCTCTGAACAAAGGGTGTGCTATAACAGTTTTCCAATTGAACGTAACCTAATCTGGCTTCTTAATTTAAAAATAATGCTCAGTTTGTGGTCAGTTGTACTATGTGGTAAATATTGTAGACACTGTTCAGGTTTTAATTAAATCAATAAAACACACTCTCTATTACACTACACTGATCTCATGTAAAAATAGAAAATTGCTGCCATTTTTCTGTGCTAATAGTTACAAGGATCCAGGCAATTTTGTTGTTATTTTCTGTTGCTTTAGTGAGTTTGCTGAAAAAGTGACATGATGTCAAGACCTGCCAGGGATATGACAACACATCTTTAAATTTTGAAAAGCTGCTGAATGTTGAATTGTTTAAGGTACATAGGCTACTGATTTATCAGATGTCAGTTTGAATAGCAAAATGGAGACCATACCCTTCACTTTCACGTATAACAGTCCATACATACTGGACCCTCTGTCATCCTCACAGCATGTTAATGTATATTTTGCAATAGAAGATTTTTGTTCTTCCCCTCTTTAAATGTACGTAGTTTTAATCATCATAATGAGTAAGAGGAGTAGGTATGTTTTGTGTGGTCTTACTAGCTCTCTCTGTGTTAAGTGGCAGCTTCTGCTCTTTAATCTTCTGTCCCCTGTATTTCTGCATCTCTATTTTCATTCTCATATTGTGTCCGTCCTCCAGTTAGATGTTTTCAGGCATCATGGACCTAATTTTTGAGGGGCCACCAATAGTAGTACTGGCTCACATTTTGCAATAAGCAAGATAGGACATAACCCCCGCCCCCCAAAACAACCTAATTGTTCAAAATATAGGAGTAACATAGGAATTATTTTCTTTTTAAACTGGGCAATGTTTCCCCTTAATTTAAATGGGAATGATCCTTCTGCATGCTTTGCATCTTTTCTCAGATATTTGTCTTGGTTTTCTGTGGTCATTAGTGTTATCATAAGAAGTAAATTATTTTTTTGCAAAAAACACATCCAAATGATTAGCTCACTTATGTAGATGTTACAATTTTATGTTTATTTTAATTATTAATACATATTTTTTCCCCATAGGTAGTGATTCCCAGTCATCAGATTCAGGCAAGTGTTTTCTGGATGTGTACATGTATGTGTGTGTGTGTGTGTGTGTGTGTGTGTGTGTGTGCACGTGTGTATATATATCTATATATATATATATATATATATAATATCTTTGTGCGTAGATGCCTGGCGTTCACGCAGTGTGTCTGAGGGGTTGAGGAACGGAGACGCCAGCAGCTCGTCCTTGACTGCTAAAGGCTTCCGCAGCGTTAGACCCAACCTACAGGAAAAGAAATCTCCTACACCGGTACATATTTATTTATTTATAATGCAACTTGGTCTGTTAATGCATTCTTGCTTGATCATACTGCTGTTATATATTTTTTATTGTACTTCATGACTGTTTAGATTATTGGCCATGTTTTCCAAAATGACAACTTCTTTTTAGAGGTATTTAGACAAGGGTTTATATCAAGTGTTTTCTTGACCCCTTAAGCAGTCAAACTGAAATTTCTCTATTTACTCTATTTAAAATTCACTCTAATTGAACTGATTTTATATATTTGAATTGACCTTTTTTCTGTCAGGTCCCCTTGCCGCCCCCTAGGAGAGAGAGCTATCACATGACCCCTAACCCCCCATCTTACAGTTCCCTTGCAATACTGTCAGACACCTTCCTCTCTCCCCCACAGAATGATGATGTAATTTCCACAGGCTCTTACACTATTCAATCTAGAGCCACCTCCTCATTTTCAAACTCTAAGACCACCCAAACCTACACGAGCACCCCTGGAGCCCCCCTCGAGGAGCCCCCCTTGTCCCAACAGGCTAATGCTAACAGTTTTATCACTCGGGTTCTTGGGAGCAAATTGTCCTCTTCGAAATTCACCACTGACCATCTAAATGCAGCACCTAACAAGATGAATATGATTAAAACTGACCCTATGTCTAAAACTAAACGGAAAGGTACATCCGCTCCCCCGCCTCAAGACCCCACTGCCACTTCTGAAATGCATGTAGCCTCTCTCTCCATCCAGTTAGCTTCCCGCAGTCCAGAACCCCAAGCAGAGACCCAATCAGGGCCTGAGACTGAATCCAGGACTAACGCATTGGACCCCGCTGACCCCATGCAACCCCCTGTCGTACCACCAAGACCAGCCGGCAATTTGGTGGTATTACTGTCATTCATTTACAGTGATAATGTACACTTACTGTGCCAGTCAAAAGTTTGTAATAATTTATATTTTTTAATGTTTTTGAAAGAAGTCCTTTACGATATCCAAAGCTGCATTTATTTGATTAAAAATATAGTAAAACAGTAATGTTGTGAACTATTATTACAATTTAAAATAAACATGAAAAAAGCTTAATGTCATTCATTTTTTTCCAAACTTTTGACCAGTAGTGTATCTCTTACTCTTAAACTAACTGTGTAAACAGCACCCATTGACCCTCATCTGTTGGGATAGAGAGAACAAACACAGACGGCATGATGAAAGAGCGTGTTTTTCTGCTAATTACTCATTTTGTTTTATGTTTCCAGCCAACCATTTATTTCTTCCCACAGATTTGCCTGTTCTTCTTCACTCAACATGGTTAATTTGCTTCAATCACTTCTTGCTCACTGGCTTTGTTTTGTGTTCACTTTAATTTCTTGTCTTCCTTCCCTTTTATTTCCACCCACCTCCATCAGCGTGAGTTTTCCCCTGTAAGAGGGGGCACTGGAACGCTCTCTTCTGGACCCCCCTCCCCAGACCCATCAGCTCGTCGGTCACCGTATAGCCGGGCGAGTCAGGATTCCCCCGACTTCCTGTCGGGACTATTGCCCAAAGCCCTCTCGCCAACACCCTACACCCCTCTGGAACGTTCTGGGCTAATGTCGGCCTCACCTGCTGCGTCACCGTTAACCGTGTCTGCGCTGAGTCATTATTCATCATCCACGTTCGGGCTGGAGGAGCTGCAGATCTGCGACATGGACTCCTCCCCCACGGCCACACCTACCCCTTCCCCCACTCTCAGCCACGTCTCCAATGCCCCTGACGAGCTTCCTACCGCCCCGTCAGCTGCCACAGGCACTAACGTAACTATCACGCACGACTGGCGCACCTCACCTCAGTCTGCTGTCACCTTTGTTTGATTCTACTCGTGTTTGTATGTCCTCACTAGTCTTTCAGCGCTATTTTACGTCTAACTTTGACATGCTTTATGTGTCAGCTTACAGCAGGTGGCTGTCTTGGTTTTCACTCTGTTCTATGTATTCAGTTTTTCATTGTGTGCTATGTATGTTGTTTCCCATTTAAAGTCAACATGCATGCGCAATGTGACGTTTTAAATTGAAACAGAATGTAAAAAGTGTAGGGTGGATTTTATCCATCTGGAATTGAAAAGTGGGAGTCCATGGTAGAATGAAATTAGTTATTAATATGAACAAAAACCTATTACTGCTGTACTATTGATTTTTTTTATTCTAATTTGCATTTATTTAATGTGAAATATTACAATATCAAATATTACATTTGTATTAAAGATTACAAACTTTTTTTTTTTGAGTAATGTGCACTGATTAATTGTCCAGGGATGTGTATTAAGAAAGTTTAAGGTTCATATGATGACCTCTGATTCTCCATGTGACCTTTCATGACGTTTGTTTGATTAACATAATTCTCGTCTTTATATTGTCACCGTTGACTGAAGACTCGAACATCAATGGATTATGATTGTATAATGGAGCTATATTCCAGTGTTGTTAACACTCTTTTTTACATAAATTGTCCTGCACTCATTATCTACTAAAGGTTGTTTTAATGTTGGTTTGTTGTCATGTGGTCTAACAGTTTTTAAGTTACCTTTATATTTGTCGTCCATCATTTCTCTCATGTTACTACAGAAGCACCAACATCTGACCACAACCTTTGTCTTTTTTATAACAGCATTTTCCCCATTAATGACATCTCTCAAATACATTTGTTATACAGTATGTAATATTTTAACATTTGTCTTTTGAAGTGTGTACTCTAAAGTCTTGCATTTCTCATTTGTCTAACTACTTATTGTCTCATAGCTTTCACCCACTCATACTTGTTTGACTTAAAGTGACTCTATAAATGACATTACCCACAGTTCCATCTCTTATGTTCCCCAGGGTCAGATGGCAGTGAATGGAAGATCTCAGTCTCAGAGGCCGTTCTCTCCACCTGTGTACCCCCCTCCACCCCCAAACCTCAGTCCAGGCCTGGTAAAGATTCTGCAGGGTCGTTGTTCAGGTGAGTGTACCTCCGGCTAGTATCGCAGGGCAGAGTTTTGACTATCGGCAAAATGTTGCTTATTTAGGCAAGAACCGTCCACTTAGACTGGAATAGGATGTCTGAAGCACATGTAAAACGTCTCAGGTTACGACTGTAACCATGGTTTCCTGAGAAAGGGAACGAGACGATGCGTCAACGACGCTTTGGGAACGCCCCCAGCGTGAATGCGTCTGAGCATCAATGTCAACTAGTCCAATGGAAAGAATGAGCGTCACGGGCGGGTGACGTCATGACCAGGAAGGGATAAAAGCACATACGGTGCAAACCGGCATTAGGTTCGAAATCGCCGAAGCAAGCCGATCACAGGGATGCAGGAAGTATGGCAGAGTGACGCATCGTCTCATTCCCTTTCTCAGGGAACTATGGTTACAGTCGTAATCTGAGACGTTCCCTTTCGAGGGAACTCGCGATGCGTCAACGACGCTTTGGGAACGAGAATACCCAAAACACCAGAATTCCAAGTACCTGAGTGTTAGTCTGTTGTAACTAAGCACTAAGCACCTGAGAACCTGGGGCAGCATCCAGGTCTAAGCTGTAAAACCTAACAAATGTGAGCGGTGAGGACCAGCCTGCCGCATCACAAACGTCTTGAAGAGAAACCCCAAATAGTAAGGCTTTAGAGGCCGCCATACCCCTCGTAGAATGAGCTCTGACCACCAAAGGACACGGCTGGTCAGAGTACTCGTATGCAAGTGTAATAGCCTCAACTATCCACTTACTAACCGTCTGTTTAGAAGCAGGAAGACCTTTCTTAGGTGATCCAAAGCAAATAAATAACTGATCGGACTTCCTCCATGAAGATGTCCGATGAACATAAGTATCCAGTGCTCGCACTGGACACAAGAGTTTCAGCCTTTCCTGGTCCGCAGATGTAAAAGGAGGAGGACAGAAAGCCTGCAGCACAATAGGCCTCGGAATCAAGGTCGGCACCTTAGGGACGTATCCCTGTTTTGGATATAAGAATGCCTTGACCATCCCCGGTGCAAACTCAAGGCAAGTGGGGGAAACCGAAAGGGCCTGAAGGTCTCCAACTCTCTTAAGGGACGAAATAGCTAGCAGAAAGATAGTCTTAAGGGTAAGAAATTTCTCTGAAACCAAATCTAAGGGCTCGAACGGAGCCCTGGAAAGGCCTTCTAGTACTATAACAAGATCCCAAGCCGGCACCCTAGTACGAGTTGCAGGCCTCAGCCTCAATGTGCCACGAAGGAAACGTGTAATCAGGGGGTCTCGACCCAACGATGTACCCCCCACCAGGGCGTGGTAAGCCGCAATGGCCGCCACGTAGACCTTGAGCGTGGAAGGACATAGACCTGACATAAAGCGCTCCTGCAGGAACTCAAGTACTGTGTTCACAGAACAGTTAAGCGGATCCCACTGATGTCGGTGACACCATACAGAAAAAACTCTCCATTTAAGCGCATATAATTTCCTAGTAGCTGGAGCTCTGGAGCTTAGAATGGTCTCAACAACCTCAGTTGAGAGACCACTCTCTATGAGTTGGGCCCCCTCAGAAGCCAAACCCACAGGTTCCAAATCTCTGGTCGGGGGTGAAATATTGTGCCCCCGGCCTGAGACAGAAGGTCTCTCCTGATCGGGATCTCCAAGGGAGGACCGTCTAAGAGATGGATCAGGTCCGCAAACCAGATCCGACTTGGCCAGCGTGGTGCTACTAGCAGTAGGCTTATTCCGTACTGGCGGACTCGCTCCAGAACTCCTTGGAGCAGAGCAACAGTCTGCACCATAGCATCCAGCCCCAGGGGGGCTGGGTGAGTAAGGGAGAACCAAAGTGGACAGTGCGTCGTATGCTGAGACGCAAACAGATCCACCTCTGCTTGGCCGTAAAACTCCCAAATTTTCTCCACCGCCTCGGGGTGGAGTCTCCAGTCCCCTGGCCTCAGCTCCTGCCTCGACAGGATGTCTGCTCCAATATTCTGGTCCCCAGTAATATACACTGCCCTCAGGGAGAGTACCTTCCCCAGAGACAACAGGAGGATCTGGTGCGCCAGCTTGCACAGCGGACGCGAACGCAGACCCCCCTGACGGTTCAGATAAGAGACCACCGATGTGTTGTCTGTACGGACGAGCACATGATGGCCCCTCAGGTCTGGGAGGAATTGCCTCAACGCATTGAAGACAGCCATCATCTCCAGGCAATTTATGTGCCAAGAAAGATGATGACTCCTCCACAGACCCTGAACCGAGCGGCCTTCCATTACCGCTCCCCAGCCGGTGAGGGAAGCATCTGTCGAGATTGCAACTCGATGGCAAAGAGCTCCCAACACCGGACCCTGGGTTAAGAACCAGTGTTTCCTCCATATAACCAAGGCGCGGAGGCGTGATGATCTTGATTACACGAAGTGGGTTTCCCCTCGGGGAGAACCCTCTGGTCCTGAGCCACCACTGTAAAGGTCTCATGTACAGCAGGCCAAAAGGAATCACGTTGGACGCTGCTGCCAAGAGACCCAACAGTCTCTCGAACTGTTTTACAGTGCGTGACTGGCCTAGCCTCAGCTCTTCTGTGGCTGTCAGGATAGCAGCTACACGAAGGGGCGATAGAGCGGCCCGCATCGTCACTGAATCCTATACCACACCAAGGAAAGTGGTTCTCTGTACTGGAGAAAGCACACTCTTCTTGGCATTGAGCCTCAACCCCAACATCTGCATATGAGCGAGAACGACACCTCGGTGCCGAACCGCCAACTCCTCTGATTCCGCTAGAATCAGCCAGTCGTCGATGTAGTTCAGAATATGTATGCCCTGCAGCCTGAGCGGGGCTAGAGGTGCATCTACCCATTTCGTGAACGTGTGGGGTGATAGAGCTAGGCCGAAAGGAAGTACCCGATACTGGTATTCTTTGCCCCCGAAAGAAAACCTTAGGAACTTCCTGTGCTGAGGGAGGATGGAGACATGGAAGTAAGCGTCCTTCAGATCTATTGTGACAAACCAGTCCTCGGATCTGATTTGAGTCACGATCTGTTTGAGTGTCAGCATCTTGAACTTGAGTTTCTGTACTGAACGATTTAACAGACGAAGATCTAAAATGGGACGCAATCCTCCATCCTTTTTCGGAACAATGAAATAACGGCTGTAAAAACCCGACTCTCTGTCGGGTGAGTACACCTGTTCTATAGCTTCCTTTGCTAACAGGGCCTTTACCTCTTGCTCCATTACCAGAGCCTGCTCGGGATGCACTACTGTGAGCAACACCCCGTTGTAGCGAGGAGGACGAGAACCGAACTGGATTCTGTATCCTTTCTCTACAATCCGCAGGACCCAACGAGAAATATTTGGCAGAAGCTTCCACGCTGCCAGAAAATCTACTAAGGGAACCAGCCTCTCGAGGCTGGTCTCTGGTGTTAACTCTAAAACCCCCCTCAGAGGGCGCGAAACCGATGCAGTGCCGCAGCATAGCATCAGCGACTCGCTGGAGACCGCTGCGCCCCGAAGCACCAAGGGTGGCGGGGTTGGCAGAACGGTCCCTTGAGGACCCCGAAGTGGAACGGACACCGTATTCTGAGGTGTACACCGCTCCACTTCGGTCGGGGCTGTCCTCACAGGTCTGACGCCAGTGACGTGAGGACCTCTTTTTTTGAGCCGAAGTCTCCTTCGCCTGAAGAACGGTCCTCAGATCCGGCTTCGACTTAGAAGACTTTGACTGAGAGTGTTGCGCCTGTTTCCAGTGTTTATGTGGAGGTGCACGAGACGAAACACTCTCTTTTTGTTGTGCACGAAATGAGGAGCTTGACGGCTGGGGCTGCTCACGCCCAGCAGCCCCAGGGGGCTGGACACGGCGAGGGAGAAACTTTTTAAACGCCTCCGCTTGCTTCTTCGACTCTTGAAATCTCTCGACGACCGCGTTGACTGCGTCGCCGAAGAGACCAGAAGGCTCAAGCGGAGCATCCAATAAAAAAGCCCGGTCTTTTTCTCTTATTTCGGCCAGATTTAACCAAAGGTGCCTCTCAGTAGCTACAAGGGCTGCCATAGACCACCCAATTGCTCTGGCGGTCTCCTTCGTTGCTCTGAGAGACAGATCGGTGGCCCGGCGAAGTTCTCGAACCTCGTCAGGACCAACTCCCTCACTCCTATCCAGATCCCCCAGCAGGTCAGCTTGGTAAGCCTGGAGCACTGCCATAGTGTGCAGACATGCTCCAGCTTGACCTGCTGCCGTATACGCTTTACCCACTAAACCCGAAGTTGCTTTAAGAGGTCTAGTGGGCAAAGCTGAGGCCTTCAGAGACGATGCTGGGCCAGGTGACAGATAGCTCGCGAGCGTCTGTTCAGCCTGGGGCATCGCCTCATATCCGGCTCTTTCAGCCCTCTTATACCTGCATATATATTAACCTGAGGGCTGAAAAGACGTGACGAGTACGGCTTATTCCATGATCTAGATAACTCATTATGAAGATCGGGAAAAAAGGGAAGGCCTCGTGGTGGAGATAATGTAGCTGAAGAAAGGAAGCGCTCATCTAGTTTACTTTTAGGACGAGCGCCCCTTTTCTCAGCTGGCCATTCAATATTTAATTTTTCTACAGCCCTAGACATCACCTCCACCAGCTCCTCATATGCTGGGGAAACAGTTGGCGAATCTCTTTCCCCAGTGTGTGTGCTTTCACTCTCCATACTCATCACATCAACCTCCTCAGAGGAAGAGCAACGAAGTAATGGAGGGCTCTCTCCCCGGGTGGAAGAAGCCGCAGAGCGGGCTTCCGACACCGGGGGGAGAGCACTGGATCCTCCGGGTAGGGAAGGAGAAAAGGCCCTCGGACCCGTCTCCAACCCCTCCGAAAGATCCTTTTGCGATCCCCAGGAATGCATTCTCCGTGCTGTCTCGGCAACAGCGGGTCTTGCACCCTGAGGATCGCGAGCCTGACCACTCTCGTCAAAGAGTGACAGGCGAGAGCGGAGCATGCGAAGCAGAAGCATCTCGCAATCCTGGCACTCAGCCCCCTCGAAGGCTG